TCAACGTAATCGATCGGCTTATCGCGGGAGTAATAGGCGCTCCCTTGTTAATCAAATATGAAAAAATCAGACTCTCTACAGGACCTCCCCCACCCCCTACAAAAAATATCCAAAACTACACTGTGAACTTTGCGTCAGCAGTCACAGCAGTAATGACTTTAGCCTTGCTTTCAAACACTCAAAACTTGATGGCATGATGGTCTTTGGTTGAATTAGCACTAAGTAGCTTGCTTGTATTGTTGCTGTTGTTTTTATTTTATCTTTATATTAATTATGGTTATATTGTCTCCATGTTAAATTGGTTGATATGTTGAAATCGTTCCATCACAGTTTTAGCGTACTGCTCATTTTAATTTATTTCCAGGCATTTATGTTTTGAGAAAACCCAAAATTATTCCGTATTAAGGAGTACGTTTACGACGCACGTTTAAGATAGAAATGTCTATTAGTAACAGTTTATTCCATAACGAAATAATAATGGTACTTTGATTACAAGGACTTGGAAGCGTAAATATTTGTACCTTCGTGAAAAACAACCTGCTAGGAAAACTTTGTGGTGACAACATTTATTTTTGGTTTCTTTGAGTACATCATTGCGAACAAAAACGTTTGCATCATACAATACATCATATTAATGTATGCTTTGTTTTCAATACAACTGTGTGTGTATTTTTTATAAATTGCAATATATGATTCAATGTCGAATGATCGTAGCAATTACAAATAAAGTGTGATTCGTTCAATTATCATTATCTAATTCATTTGACAGATGAAGCATTAAGGGTGGTCGTTGATTTGCCTGCCAAAATTAGGGTTACCGAGAATGGAAACATTGAAATAGAGTGTCAGGTGAACCTACTTACGAGTAAACCTGTTTGGCGATACAAAGGGGAAATTCTACAATCATCTGGTAGAAAGATAATACGAGCAAATGGTACTACCCACAAATTGATGATCATGAATGTAACCCTACACGACGAGGGTGAATATACAGTTGACTTTGGGAATGTCTCATCTAAAACAACAGTTCAAATACAAGGTCAACATATATGAATGCTATCTTCGTTTTATTTTACACTATTTATATATCTATCAGGTCCTTTACATAAAAGTCGTTAATTTTATTTAAATGGTTCGGGTCAAAGCTGGTAAATCTAAGAAGCAAACAATGCATTTAATTTCATACTGATTTACCAGATACCAGAAAATCATTCGAGCAATTTTATTCAAATTAATTTCAGTGGAAACAGACCTTATCCACAGAAAACAGATAACACAAGAATTGTTCAGAAATTGGATGAGAGGAGCTCTAGCGTTAAAATATCTAAAAATAGGTTTAGAGGGTTTTTCCGACAAGGCTGTTCACAAACAACATAATGATCTAATGAAAAAACTTGGAAACTATTGCAACACTTGTACAGATGAAAGTCTTCTCCCACATAAACAAGATCAATGCCCACGACAAAGAAAACATCAATGTTTATGTACTAAAGATCAGAAACAGAAGTCAAGACACATGTGTCCAAACGGGGGATTTTGTGGCAACGTTTATAATCAAATAGTTTATAAACATCGCTTTCAAGATCCATTATTCACAAATACAGATATCCAAAAATGGAGCAGTGATGCGTGGAGTGTTGCTACATGCTTTGTTAATACTACTGGCTACAAATGCAAGCAATCAGCTAAAGAGGTCGACTGCTCCGGTTTACTTAGTATGTGTATAAACAACATTGATATAGAAATAATGCTTGGAGGAGTTACCATCGATGGGAAAATAGATGCGTTTGCAAAGGTACACATCTTCACCACAGTCATCACTTATTGTTGTATGTAATTTCAATTGCACATTGTATATACATGTTTATATTTAGCCTTTATTTTGCAAGTCTAGAACAGTCTTTTCAAATTAGATTTAAAATAGATTAATTTATAAGTGAAGTATTTTAGCAACAAAAAAAAAATGAGACTTTAGATACTGAAGTGTTTCTTTTGCAGGCAAGGGAAGCAAGGAATGATATTCTTCACAGTCCAAACAATGAACTTTCTGAAAATCAACTAAACACGTTTACCACAATGTTCAAAGAAGTACTAGAAATCAAGGACAAACATGGTAATACACCTCTGAAAGGGGAGCCAGGCGTAGAAGAAGCATTACGTTTACTAGATATGGTAATACTTCTATTGGAATTATATAGTATAACGTTTAAGAAAGTACTAGAAATCAAAAACAGAAATGGCAATACATCCATGAAGGAGAAACCCGGTGTTGCACACGCATTACATTCACTAGATATGGTAATTAACCTATAAGAGTAATGCAGTAATTATAAAGACAAGATTAGCCGATTTGGGATACATTTTATTGTTTCTTTATTAGACTTCGTGTGGATGAAATCGTATTTCTCTCTAAATTAAGAATATATTGATCAAATTTGTAATATTTGTTGCACATTATACTTTAGCAACTTCTTAATGTTTACTACTTGTTATTTTGTAACAGATGTATGATATAAATAAAATAGTACGTTCAGGTCCTTTTCCATAAGTGTTAAAACATTTTATTGCGTATGTTAGTAAGTACATTATTGTCTAAAGTAGTAAATACATTATTGACTATAATAGTAAGCACATTATTGTCTAAAGTAGTAAATACATTATTGACTATAATATTAAGTACATTATTGACTATAATAGTAAGTACATTATAGACTATAATAGTAAGTACAATCTTTTTATTTATTCTAATGATTCACTCTGTATCCTCTTGCAAACGTAAGCCCGTTACTTTTTGGCTTTTCACACATATACACAGACAATTATTTGATTATTAACATGATTGCAACAATACAGGATGGAAAAATAATCAACAAAGCTTATTACAAGTTAACAATTCGGCAGTATGTTGTAAAAAGATTATACCTGATAAATCTTAAGTTCATTTAGACCTTCCCATGTATTACTTCTTTGCTTTCAAGGGCCCGATATGCATTCTGTCATTTTTGTTATGACATCATTCTCCAAATGAGTTTACGGACCGGAGTCCTATCATAAATTCTTACAGGTGCAACAAAATCAGATTGAGATTAACCTTGAACATGAGATGAGAGAGCTGAGAGAGCATGGGATGTCTAGATTAGAAGAGAAATACGAAACAGCACAAAAACAGGCAAGTGTTATAGCTAATGCATTTGAGTATTGTTAGAACATGCTTTTACGACCGATAAAGTAAGGCAATATTGTTTTTCAAGTCTCATACAATGGATAATAAGTTCAAAAGGTCTTTTAAAAATAATGCGATTCTTAAGATGTTAGTCTTAGTATTGTAAACGAATCATTACTGAGAAAGAGATGTTAACACTTGTCTTTCTGTTAGCCATCATGCACGCTTGATTATATAGCCTCGTTTAGATTTCTTAAACTTAAAGAATACACTGAGGCGAACAATACATTCGTGAGTAATTGTAAAGAATATAATTAAAATGAAGTTTCTTCTTCGTCATGTTTATGCACGATAAGCATATAATGTTATACTTTAAACTTTTTTTTCAGCATGAACTGAAACTTCAACTAATTAAGCAACAGATAAAAGGTTTGTCCTTGCATTTTAATTTAAACAAGTAAAAGCTTATCCTATACGAAAATTCTACTAGGTCGTTATTGATATGAATTTAAAACTAAGATTTATCGTGATACATGTAACAGTGTAGTTAAAAATCCTGTATCCGTTTGAAAAGAATAATATGTATTCTTTTAAATTGCAAAAATTCATGAATTGTTTTCTTTTAAAGATGGAACGGTTGTATTTGACAAAACAGGAATATCATACGTAACTGACATACGGGTTTTAACATATGTTATACTAATATACTCGTACAAAATGTATACATAGCAACAAAGAGAAGAATAATTTAAAAAATAAATTGCAGCTACAAAGAGAATAAGGTTTTGAAATATAAATGATGGTTTAATAGACATATTTTAGAACACAGGTGTTTGAGGATTTAACACAGTTTATATAAATGGGGTCATGCAAGAGTTATTTCCTTAAGAAAAAGTATTGCTTGTAAAAGAATAATCAATAAATATTTATAGTCATTATATTTATAATAAAAAAATATTCAAGAGTATGCAGACTTATACTTTTTAAGTAAGCTGATAACTATGAACGAAATCAGTGTTGTTGTTTTTGTTGTTTTAAAGTTACAAACACACAGGTGTTGATCTGTCGAAAATATCTTGCAAAATATTTGGTCTAAATGTGTATTTTTCTCATTCAATTACTGTAACAAGTCGAATTACTTAAAATGAGGACACGCATAAACTATGTTTAGTATTATTGCATATCATTTGTATTTCCATAAATTTCTGTCATTGCTCGAGTTGTGTTTTTATTTTCAGATAAAGAAAATGAGCTTCGGCTTATGCTAAATCTTAGACCCGTTGAAAAACAAAAGAGTCATAAAGGTACCTAATGCAAAAAAAATACTTAAACACTTTTGAATTCAGAACTATTATCAATAAAAATTTGTTAACATTGAAAAAATACAAAAAGGAACTGATTAAAACCACTATTGTTTTTTTATACATTTACTTTTGACGACTAAAATTAGAATGTAACTAAAGTGAGTTGAACCAGCTATATTTGAAATAAATATATGAATAATTCATATTCAAATTGCCACTTCTCTAACTTTCCTTGTTATTCTTGCATAAAAACTACGCACGTAGGTGTATATAAACGAAGACGGAAACATGCTTTTACAGATATAATTACGCAAGCATGCACTTTGTTTTTAATATGCATGACTCAGGGCGCCATGTGTAACGGATATAAACGGGAAAGCATGTGTTACATTTATATGGAAAAAAAATAACGAAACGTAAATGTAACTTGTTTGAGAATGCTTATACACATGCAATTTGCGTATGCATTAACATCTGTATATTTTGATGCACGTTAGACCGTGCATTAATTCACTAATATGTTTTTTTTCCAGAGCACTTCTTGCTTGATCTACAGTTAAAAGTTATTGCTAAAAATGGTGAAAAAAGTGTTGAAGGAAATCAACGAGTTTATGAAGTAATTAGACACTATATTAAAGATAAAGATGATATGACGGGTTTGCGTTTTGATGAAAGATCAACTGATACACCAGTCTATAACTTCGTAGTTTTCATCAATGCCATAGAGAAATGCTGTATCGATGATATTTCTCCCACTGATCAATCGTCAACAGACATACAAATCAAGTGCTCTAGTTTGAAGGCCATGGCATATTTTCTTAAGTCTATCAACTGTTACCAATTTCATCAGATACTGGTTGATCTTAGACAATGGCTACATGTACGATATGATATTGAATCGCATGACATAATAGCTAACTGCTCATCAAATGGCATAGAGGAAGCAAAACAGCTCCTGCGTAAGTTAAACAATTCTTAAGTGTAAAAATGGTTTCTACTTTAGTCAGAGCATTTACAATTTTTGGCTGTACAATTTAAATACTTTTCTTTTGGTCATTATCGTTTAGATGTCTAATGATTAATTAATAAAAGAACTTTTTACGTTGATATTTTATATTTGATTCTATAAACTCAAAGACATGTCCAAAATAGTGAAAGCGTCGAATTTTTATCTTCAGACTTAACTGACGTAACCAGGAATATGATTTGTGCCAATCATCAAAATACACAATGTACTCTGTATTGTCCTGACCATGACACTGTCTTCTGTACAGCATGCAAGGAATCAAAACATGGGTAATTATACATTTCTTAATCAGTTGTTTATAGTGGTAAATATGGAACAGAACACACTAATCAAACGAATTTAAAAGAGTGCGACAATGACAAATAATCAATCAGAAACATTTAAATATTATTTCACAAAAGTAACTTGTAAACAAACTAGTAAAACAAGTTTGTCACAAATAAAAATAGCTTTTGGTTATAGTAACAGCTGCCAATAAGTATGAGTGTAGCTCTGATTGATGAGGAATATCTAATTATCCGGTAAAACTTGATTGATGACAAAATGGCGGACAGCAACCAAGTAAAAAATATCCACGTTTAAATTTCGACGCTTATCTTGGTTGTCGCCATTTCTAAGAAACAAACAGATATCAATATAAACAAATATATCTGTCATTCAGTTTTACAAGCTGGCAAATGATAGCAATGAAGTTTACAGACCTTTTAAACATATGCTTACATATTAATACGAAACTTACAGAGTGATATGTACAAACAGTTTGTTCGTACATTCGTTTATAATAGCTCCTGGTTCTTTTCTCCACGCCGGTTTTTTTCTTTTTGGCAAATTCAACCCATATCTCTGCGTGCTTTAAAAATGAATCGATACCAGAAATTAATCCGAATTAAGGGTGGAACTAGCTTTTCCCCCAAAAAAACCTACATACAATTATAATGATATAATGTAAACGTACAGTCCGTGTTTGTACTTGCATATATAAATATATATAATAATTTATAACATGATATATAAATCGAGAGAATATGTATGCATAAACCAGGAAATATAAGTAAGAGCGCAAGCTTTTTTCGTACATACTTTTATATTTACGTGAAATAGAATTGCAATAACCGTTTTCTTTCTATCAAACTTGGGTATATGTACTGTTAATGTTTGTTTATCTCGAGTACATGTTTTTAAATGTACTTTCAAGAATTCTTTACTCTCTAAATGTTTATGGAACAGATTACACATATTCTTTCCATTAATGACGGAAACATTATAATTATGAATCGATTTACGCTCGATCTAGCGGACTAATACTTACATAGAAATCGATGCCAATCAAGCGGGAGAAATCATTGTAAACGGGAACAATGAGCCACCTATTATAATAATTAGATATAAATTACTTAATCGGGAAACAACAAGTACGTAAGTAAGTATAAGTTAGTATTAAGTAAGTAAGTAAGTAAGTAAGTAAGTAAGTAAGTAAGTAAGTGAGTAAGTAAGTAAGTAAATATAAGAATTAGTGTGTAAGTAAGTAAGTAGGTAGGTAGGTAGGTAGGTAGGTAGGTAGGTAGGTAGGTAAGAAAGTAAGTAAGTAAGAATCGCCTTTATTTAACGAGGCTTACACATTCGGTTTCCCGATATTCAAAGCGTGACACAGCTAAAATACACAATTACAATGTATAATCATTATACAGATACACAACATATACACAACATATATACAAAACGTCATACTGAAATATGAGCCGTGTTATTAAATATCTATAATTAAAGTCATACTATTTAAACGAGTGTAAAAGACAATAGAAGTTTTTGCTAAATGCTAGATGATTGTGTGGCTAGTGTTTGTCGAAACCACTATATTTTTGTATTTATTATCATAATGAACATTTTGTCAAAAATATAATTGTTTTTTCTATTTATAAAGCGCATGTCTTGGAATAAAACAAGTGACATCTGAAAGGTCTTGCATTGACATCAAAAGTCTAAAAGGAACTTATAACGTTAGGATAATAGATAATACTTCGATTAAAAGAGACAACAATGATAAACATGTGTGTTTTATCACTACTATGTGTATGCTTCCTAATAATGGAGCTCTCTTTGTTGATTTCAAGAATAAAAGACTGAAGAAATTGGATAGTTCGTACAAGGTAATTAGTCATTGTGATGTACCTGAAGATCCTTTTTCTGTATGTTATATAGGCAACAATACAGCTGTTGCTAGTTTAAGAGGCAATTCCATGCAGTACGTTAATATGTCAGTTGATATAAACCTCACAAAATTAATGAAGCTAGATCATGAATGTTTCGAACTAGCTTGTCACGGTGACACACTCTATGTTAGCAGTTGCGACGCAATTTACAAATATGACAAAAACTGTACACAAAAGCAAGTTATCTATTATTTTTGTGAAACTCGGACCAAGTTTAACATAAATCCTATTGCTATAAGTGACAATGGTGAGCGAATCTACTTCAGTACAAATAGAGGGCTAACGGCAATAGATGCCAAGGGAAATCATATCAGTTCACAATTTGATGATTGTAACATACGTGATATATGTATTGCTGGTGAAGGTATTGTTCTTGTATTAGATGAAACAAACAACCTTCATCAGCTGGATTTTAATGGAGAAAAGAATCGGACTGTACATAACATGCTATTAAATATTTTAGTTGTGCATTCTATGTGTTTCGACAGAGAAAGATGTAGACTTATTGTTGGCGGAGTTGAAGACAAGATACATGTTTACAAATGCGAATTTTTACCAAGTTAGTTAACAAAATTGTTTTGGTAAACCAAGAACAAAATGAAAAATGCATGGCTCATCTACTTTTGTTTATTTAAATTTATAAGTGTGTATGTTTGCTTATTTCTTCGTCGAGTCATTGCTTAATATTATGACGTCGCGCTTATTTATCTTGAATGTTTTTGTAATTACATTTATATATTACATAAATTTTTCGTAATAAAGGTTTAATAGTTACACGTTTGAAACTTTCTTTTAAATCCAAATCGAGACTATTTAACAACATGAACAACAAGTCAATCTTGTTTAAAAGACTTACGAATGAACTGATGATTGATTTATCCAACATATAGCCATTGTAACTAACATTCCGACAAATTGCTAATTGAGCGTTTACATTTTGTCATATCTTAGAAACAGTTTTAAGGAAAAAAATGAATAATTGATCATTTATTGCTCATAAGAAAAACAAAACTTTATTACAATTTATCAACGGAAAACTATACAACAGAAACATTCATCGTTAAAGACTGCATGATTAAACAAAGTCTTATTTGACTATTTCAATACTTCTCAGTGGGTAAAGGATGAACCGATTCTGTCTGCAATTTTTATGTAATGTTGATTAAATGCTTTCCTGAAAAGTGAAGAAATTATATGTTGATTTGAAATTAAATAAAATTCCTAGTATTAAATCTGAAATATTTATATTCGCTTTACTTGACAATGTGCAATCAGAAACAAAAATTATGATTCAAATTATTATTTTGAAACCTACATATGACTGTTCTAAAAAAGAATCTAATGTATAATGTTCTTTTAAATACTGATTTATTTCACCGTAAATCAAGGAAATTTTAATGTAATACGATTATTTTCTTGCTCATGCTATTGTCTATCTAAAGATTTTAATAAAATTTTGAAGTCTTTTAGAACATGCATTGTGCTAGTTCATAGCACTGTTCAACATTGTACATAACCATGAATTGATTGATTGTCAATGGTTACTTTTTGTGTTTATGAGAATGCATATGTAACACATACAATACTATACATGTATCGGAATTATCATTTTATTCTTTTAAAGATGTTAAAGATTTACCATTATCAACTATGAATCGGGTATCAGCTCACATTAGGTTTTTGTAAAGCCCTAAAACGGGTGCGATGCGATGGTAGGCGTAAGGTTTACCCTCAATTTTAGCTCGTCTTTCAATGAAAAGGGTTGGTTAGTATAGTGATCAATCTTAAAGTAGTAACCAACAAAACAGAATAGCAACTTCTAAATAACCTTTAGTTTTGAATTTAAAAATACCGATTTGCCATTGCCAAGTATGGTCCGGCGATTCGATGTTTGCTCTTATTTACATAGAGTTATCGTATAGAGCACGGTATTGGGTCGATGCACAGGTAAGAGTTAAGCTCAAAATAACGAAAAATCTTAAATTGACAACGAACAAAACAGAACAAATACTTAACTGCAGTGTAGCCTGCTACTACTAGTATTACTAGTATTACCCTTAATTTTCTCATATTTTGCCACAATTGGAACAGTCCCGCCACTTCGCTTGTAACAATTTCATTTTCAATCATTTACTTATCAATGATGTTTCAGGTCATTGGTTCATCCACTATGAGTGACCCTTCTCAAAATATGCTAATAAAACATTGGAGACAGTTATACATGACTAAAACCATAGTTTAGATAACCCAGGAAACAAAGGCATTTTTGTTATTTACAGTCATCACTTTCGGAGACTCTTTTCTGTAGGGAAAATGCCAATAATTTGGCATGCGCTTATTGAAAGGTCCAGAATAAGAATAAGAAGTTGCATTATAGAAAGAATCGGC